CTTCTAGAAGATATGCTGGTGGAGGTTATCAATATCGTCGGCAAGTTCACTAAGACAAATTGGGAAATGGAGATGGAACTAATTCCAAGGATCTTGACACACCAGGAGCCTACACAAAGGAACAGATTCAACGTGATACGCAAAACCCTGGAAACTAATAAACAATTAATCCTTCAGGCGGACAAAGGAGCAGCTACAATGATAATGGACAAAATACAATATACTAAGAAGATGGAACATATTCCACATATCGTATACTAAACAAGGACCCAACTATGAAAATCAATAGAATCTTATATGATGCTGAAAGATATGCATAGGAACGGGGAAATTGACGAATCGACAAGAAATTATACCGCAAGAAAGGATACACGACTACCAACAGCTGACGGTTTACCAAAGAAACACAAAGAAGGCTGATCGTCAACAAGTATGGAGCAACACACAAATTGGCAAAGTTTATATGTTTGAGACTCAAGAAATTAAATGTGGCTAACAAACACGGTGAAAAATTCATATAATTTCTCAAAAAATCAAAAAAAATTGCACCGGAAGAAACGGACTTATTGCTATGTTTCGATAAAGAAACCATGTATACAAATATCTGTGGAGAAAATGCGCTAATGGCTCTGCTGGAAATCCTGGACCGAGAGGACAACCTGGAATCACAACGGATCAGGAGGGAGTCGTTAACAAGACTAATCAACTTGACAATAAGGACAACCTATTTTACATTCAACGTAAACAAATATTTGGACTTTCCATTGGATCGCCGCTCCCACCACTTTTGGCAAACGTATACATGAACAAAATAGAAGATAACTTCAAGATGGCACCGCTAAAACCGGCAGTGCTCATGCGGTACCGGAATGATTACTTCGCAATTTGGTCACATGGAAGATAAAAATTGGAAGCGTTTCTGCAGTTTGTAAACAAGATTGATGGAAAAATTAAATTCACAATCAAAGTAGAGGAAGGTGAGCTGTTACCGTTCCTGGACGCTAGTAATTCGCTCTAATGAGACGCTCAAAAATAAATTGTTTAGAAAGAAGTCCTATGCTGTGAGAATACTCAATTTCCGGTACCATCACAATTACGGGCTAAATATAGGAATAATGTGGAGCCTGATCATCCGAAGCCCACGCTTAACCGATGTGGAATTCTGGGATGAAGAATTGGACAAATTAACTAGGATATTTCTCGGCAATTGCTACCCAAGTGAAGTAATACAAAGAAATATCCGGCCCTAAAAAGCCGATGGCAGAATAGGGACTATGAAAGAATAGTAAGGACGATGAAGGATTCACAAAAATGAATATGCTTTCCTTCCTGCAAACTAACTAAAAAACTACGGCCAATAATGAGTAAATGGAATATTCGGGTGGCCATGAAAGAGAAATCAACACTTCACATGTTTACCGACACAACATGAAAGGGTAGACAAATAGGATTGTTCATGAGTTTACTGTATATCATGCGGCGCGTGCAAACGGGCCTGGCAATCAGGGAGCTGGGCAGTCGGATAAGCAAACGGCTACAGAAATTCGGCGTTATAACAAAAATGTACTAGAAATCCGCTTGAGATGCCGCATGCGACCAGAGATATGCGTCCACAGTTTGCTCAGGTAACATGGGTTCAATCAAGTAGACGACCCGTAAATGCAATGCCTGATATCTGCAAGCATGGGAATCAGAGCCTAGGCGCTCTGATCGGTGAAGCGGCAGTGCATGTGCTTCTAGGAACTTGAGAAATAGCGCCTGGAGTGGTCAACGAGAAAGATAAGGAGCGTATCTACGGGACAATTAGGGGATCCTGATTGTAGGCCCGAGTCGGATTACCCGAACGAAAGAGAAGGATTCGGAGTGAATAGCAGGTGTGATGAGGCCACACTAGATTTGCCACAACGGGCACACATTTTGACTAGTGGACTGTGCACAGGTGAGAAGTTGTGATAGGACGAGAGTTGAATGAGAGAGAGAGTATATAGATAGGTTAGGACAGAAAAAGGAGTGATAGGTTAACTGTTTTCGGCAGAACGTTTGTTTAAGAATTGAATTCACTTGTCTTTTTGACGAGTTCGTAGTTTGGTGCGTAGAATGGCAAAATTCACTGGTGATGCCGACTACGATGCCGGCGAAACGTTTGAGAATGTACCAAATTCACTGTCTGATGCTGGAAATTATGACAACTACTATGGCAGATCAGTGCAAACTAGGTGCGTTCTACTAAGTTCCCCTGACTACAAGACCAAGTTGCGACAGAGGTCAACCAACCTCTATATGTCTTTAATTACCCACTTCGGGTTTGACTACAACACTCTTTGTATGTAGAGCTGTAAATTACTTTAGCATCAAGTACCGCTTTACTCAGCGTATGCACATAGGCGGATAAACATCATTATCAGATATTGAATTCAGGAGGAATCATAATAATTAAAACAGTGAGCCATGAGTAAAAATTCAGATTATGCGTATAGCCTCTATTGCCTCAAAAGGATGTCTGAGCTTAAGCTGAGGCATATCAAACAAATCTCTAATGAAAATAATTATTAAGATGGTTTTTACTGGGATATATATTCATCGGGGGACCACTTCGTCATATTTGAAGATTATTACTTGGATTGACTCCACTCACTAAAATCGCCTTAGCTCGAACGCCATTTGTATATCCACAGCCCCTTTCCTTGAGGGAAGGGAAAATTTGCTAAGGTGAATGACATAAATTGAAACTGTCAAATTGTAGCCCGTTGCTAGAGCTGCCGGCGTAGATTACAGTACTGGCGAAAATCCTAAGAATTTACCCAGTCAATAGTCCGATGGTAAAAGGAAATACAAAAATAATGACAGATTAAATGTATAAAAACTAGCAGATGTTCTCTGAATTCGCTCTAAGAACATGATTGTATAGTGAGAAATCCAACTTTGTACAGTAAAATAAGATGTTGTATAAACCGGAATCCACACCACCCATAATTACAATAATCGTTGATTAAAGCCCAAGTTTGGAATATGAACTAAAATGCCAGAGAACATAAAGCAGCATTCATTGTTTAATTACGGTACCAAAAACTAGAACAAAAAAACATTAAAAGGGAAGAAGATACCTTACTTTCTTTTTAAGCTCTAATAGTTTTCCGGCTTCTGATTGGTCGAGGTCCGACATAAGTTCCAACGTTGTGCCATATTCTAAATAAAATAAAAATTATATATAAAAAACACGAAATGTAATAAATTAAATACACACTGTCGGTAAGATAATTAAGTTAAATGTAAGAACATAGACACCAGAGTTTTCAGCTAAAAGAGACAATGCACTAAATTACTCGTTAAAGTCAAGATTTTGTCAGCATAACATTATTATTACCTAATTAACTGATAGGAATCATTCACCCAAATATGATATAAAAAGAGAATGTACTATTCAATACAAATTCTATGGGCAAACGTTGGAAATTATCATGGCTACTGTGGAACAGGACTGAGAATAAGATGAGAATAAGATGACCGTTGGTAGCAAAGAAGATCACTTCAAACGCAACCTGGGGAATGTAAGTCTGTTTACAGACTTACATTGAAAGATAGCTAGTAATAAAATCACTGAAAATAGTACGGTATCTAAAAGAAACATGAAAATAATGGTAAGTATTGACTTCATATTCATTTCAGGTGAAAAAAAATAAGGAAGGTATTAAAAGGTCGAGCACACAAGAAAACAACTCATTTATCTGTAGGCTAGTTTTATTGAAACATTCATATTGACGCCTTGTAAAGGCAATTTACTTAGATCCCGGTGAAAAGTGCTAAGCTTTCATTCGTCATAAAGCGGCCATTATCAGAACAGAGTAGCATTCTGTTTAGGGTGTTAATAAGACCTATGCGAGGTCTAAATCAGAATGAGCCTTGGATGCTATTATCTTTTTCGAGGCAAGGCTGAGAGATTCAATGGTATTGCGAGGCCTGCTCAGCTCATTGTGGGAAATGTCTACGTTTTTATTAAAGAACTACAACATGTAGCGATAATAAATGACCAAAATATTTGAAAACGTAGATAGTATTGTTTCCATAATTACATGCGAATTTTGGAATTACAGGGTGCAGGCATCATTCACAAACGATATGAGATTACGTGAGAACAATCACGCGCTTGCATCGATAAGGCTGATAATTTGTTCACAATATGAATATAGGAAGAATTACTGACATATATTGTAATTAAAATTTTTTAATTACCATAATTCATCAGGAATTAATTTGAGCTTACCGTCCCTAATAACGATAGTACCAGTTGTTCTGGGTGCTGCCATGGCTTCTCGATACACAGGAATCCGTAAATCTAATTAGAAAGGCAAGATATGTCAGGCTAGATGCAAGCACGATGCGCCATATTGCTGTGTGCATTGGCTTTATATGGATGAATATTATTGTCTCAACATGTGCTCATTTCAATGGCTACATGCAACAAGAAATAGGGTCTTATATGCCTTCTCGGGTTTAGAGGATTTATGAGGAAACTCTGCGAGCACAGTACGTAACGTACTCCTTATGAATAGAATATCAAAGGTCAAACGGGAAAAATCGTCAACAATATTCTTAAATAAACGTGATAGCACTAGAGATTATTCGAATCAAAAATGAATATCACGGCTGAAGATATAGGGAGTTGAATGCGAATGGTGTGGAATTCTTTTGAGGAAGCGTTCAATAATTTTGCGGAAGTTTTTATCGAAGCTATATCTGCTGCTGAAAAAATATAACTTAATTATAATAGGACGAAGAATAAAGGGGATATAAAAAAAATCAATTAAATCTAGATTTTGCGCAAAAACGGTGTTGAATTGACCTCGTTTACGCAGCTCGATCGAAGCGTCAAGGACATCTTGTGGAGCGTACCTAGTCCCGCATCCTGTCATAATATTCGTGATTTCCAGCATCGAACAAAGACTTGACGGAGTCTCAGACGTTTTGCCGGAAACGTCGGTGGGAGACGCCATCGTTAACAGAAACAAATTATTAAAGTGATAAATGGAGGCAATTCCTTTAACCAATTTTCCGTTCAACCGTTGTTGCATTACTTCTTTTCACTAGTGCTTGTCCTCGGTCTATTGCTGCATCTCGTTCTCACAACCACATCCCATTTCGCACATTTACCTATCCCCACCAGTCTCAGTTCATGTTTCCTCTAATGTCGCCAAAAATGGATTAAGTGAATCGTAATCATTTTCATCGCCGATTTCAAGTGTCACGTGCAGGGATTATGACTTCCATTCAGCCCCCCTTCCACCTACGTTGTCAGTTTTCGCTACACATCAAGACCACTGTTAGGCTGTCTGAAATCTGGCTGCTTGAGCCTTCGATTCTACTACTCGTTTACGTCATATTGGAGGATTTAGAGTAAGTGATGCCCATGCCTAGGGGTCTTACTCTCCATAGGCTTTAGACCCATAGCCCAATTATCCTTTTTCTCATCCCCACTCGCATTGTTTCTCATTCTTTATGGCCAAGTGTCCGACTTAATTTGGAACCGGTTGTATGAAAATACACTGCTTCCACTTTTCCACTCT